TGCTTCACACAGCTGTACGTTGCTCTGATCGAAGGATTATCATCGAACCATGGCGCGCCGCTCCTCCTCCAACTCTTGGTCTTTTTCTCCGGCACTCCTGGTAGTCGTCCTGGCTGCTTTGCTCATCTGCTGCCCCATGCCAAGCTCGGCGGGCATCCGAAGTACGTAACAATAATTAACACCAGCGGTATAATTGCAGTTGATTCGTGTTGTACATGTAAACTAAGTACATTTGGTTTTCGGCGATGCAGGTGGTGTGTACTACCCTCCGTCGCCGCAGGGCGGGCAGCCGGCCCACGCGGGGTGCCCTTGGTGTGGCCCCGCCGCTCCTCAGCCGCCAACGCCGGTGGTGGCAGCCGCGCAACACCGAACCACGGATCAGCAGGGGCGCGGACGCCGTCTGTTATCTGCCGAGTGAAAAGACCCATGGGATGAGCCGACGCTGCCTGCTGTCTAACTCAAGGGACTGAAGAAATAAGCTCGCCGTCAACTGCTATCTAGCATTGACGCTATGTGTAATATGTCTGCCGTTTTGGGCATTACCGTCTTATTTTCTTATGCAATAAAGTTGCATGTGATGCTCAGTAAGAAGATGATAGTCCATGTCTCCATGACTTGCTATATACGGAGGTTTTTACAGCATATGTGATGTTAGAGCATCTCCAACAGCCGCCCAACACGCGGCGCGTTAAAAATCAGTTTGCAGCGTGCCGTTCGTCTGTTTCCGTGCGGCGGCCAGCGCTGGCTCCGGCGGCCGCTGTAAAATGCAGTGCGCGCGCTAAAGCGCGCGCGAGCAGCCGACGCTTGCCATATGTTGCATTTTAGACACGAAATGAATTTCAAACATCAAAACAAAGACATGGCATAATTTAAATCACACAAACAAGTTCATGATGACATAAAAATTCATGCCCGCAACATCATCCAACCAAGTTTAAAATCCGAACCAAGTTCATGACACAAAAGTTCACACCAACGAATGGCTCATCAACAATCAAGCCTCGTCCTCGTCTTCATCTTCCTCTTCCTCCGATTCATCATCCAAAGAGGATTCTTTCTCCTCCTCTTCATTGTCGCGCGCGGTGTTGGCAAGATCTTCATTGGGCCTCCACCTACCAAGGCATTCAACAGGAGATCAGTAACCTAAAGGAGATGCTGGAACTCCCCTTCTCCCTGGAGATTATCATCCTTGCTGCTTGGGCAATCTGGATCACAAGAAATGGATTCATATTCAACAAAATAACACCCAGCCTTTACAGATGCCGAAAGACTTTCAAAGAAGAGCTGAAATGGCTAGTCCACAGAGCAACCAGAGAAGAATATGCAAACTTGGAGCAATGGGCACATAACTTCAAATGATGACACCTTGGGCATGTCACTCTGTAATTGATAGATTAGGAGATACTTCCTCTGCAAACTAATATAAAAGCGTTGAGATCACTATTTTAGTATTTTAAATGCTCTTATATTAATTTACGGAGGGAGTACAACGTATGATCTGCTGATGGCCGGAGCACTCTTCTCAGGCGTATCTTTTGTGTATGCTGTACTTTTGGTAGATTCTCTCTTCTTTTCTTTCCTTTTCTTTTAGGTTCTTTTCTCAGGACTTTGCTCCTGATGCTGTATAGTTTCTTTTCTTTTTGTTTTTTTCTGCCTGTACAGAACCTTGTATATTTTTTTCAAAAAATTAATAAAAATACGCAGCAGAGTCCAGCTGTTTCCCTCAAAAAAAATATCTTCAACGGCATCATGCGAAGGTGTTCGCACACCGGAAGACATTTCGCCCATGCCTGGTGTAGGACGGCGCTGGCATCCTTGACCATGGCCGTCGCGTGAGAGAGATTCGAAACG